GAAAATACTCCCAACTATCAAAAATCGCCAAAGAGCTGAAGTAGCGGAAGGAAAATCCTCTGCGATGTGGAATGAACAAGACACTGGGTACTACTCTTTCAAGCCTGGCAAAAAAGATATCCAGAGACATTGCAGTAGCCATACAAGACTCAGACTTGGTTACAAGTGCTGCTGGGAGGTAATGAACCCAATAGTTAAAGAGTGTCACATCTGTAGAACAGACGCAGAGGCGCCACTATTGCACTACTTACTGGAATGTGAAGCTACTGAAGCCCTGCGCATTAAGCTCAACATTAATCCAACGACAGCAGATGCATTAGATACAAATTCCACCGCGACTACAATGATTAGAAAAGCAGTTGAAGAATGGAACACACTAGTGAACATTCTGCATCTACATCCACCACCAAGATAATGTTATTAAAACAAGACTAAAACCAGTGCGCTAAAACAGAAGCAAAATAGAAACGGGACAAAAGGAGGAGCCCCCACCTCCATTTAAAACTTTGACCCAAATATCACAGTAACAAGATTATCGCGAATACCCGAACTCAATTACCTGCTCACTATAGCCCGTGCTACCTCAACATTTCAGTCTGAGTAGCTATATCTAAAACAACATCAACACACAATTAGTTATATTAATGGTAACACAAATGTTCCCGGGAAGTTTCGCTTCTCAGTGTAACTCTTATCAGTGATTCCACCATTTATCTGGGAATTTATAACCCTTCAAGTTATAACCAGGAAGAAAATTAATGCATTTACTATTCTCAGTTAGCTACGAGGGTTGTCTCAGTAGGTATACTCATGATTACATGGTCAGAAAAATTAGCGAACGAATAACAACAAATTAAACTAATAAGTTGTTATTACTAATTTGTTATTAATAAGTTGGATTACCATAATGCATGAATAAATTTGCCGTATGCATACCTGATCAGAGCTTCTCACAGACGTATTAATAGTAATATTGATAATTTGTTATTAATAATATGTTATTAATAAGTTTGTATAAAAAAAGTTGTTATTAATGTCTATTAATATACAACTTGGTCGGGAATCCTCAAGCAGTTACCTATCTACTTCGGAACCTCTATAGCTTTTTCTCAATCTCCGGAGGCTTTGTTTACACTTATTAAACAGTTTATGGAGCTCATAAACGGTTTAATAAGTGTAAACAAAGCCGCCAAAGATTTAAAAAGGGTGTACAGGTTCTTAAGTAAGTGCTTGATGAACGCGGCCCCCGGGTGTGTGTCAGGGGTAAACTTGTAGCCTTTTCATCGAAATTATTTCACATTAAAAACTTTCATTATCTTAATAGTATACGAATTACTTTCCAGTAGAACACGAAGTAATTACACGAATTAGAACTGTCTGAAATAGTTCAGACAGTTGATGATGATACAATGAACCTTACGTTCATTGTATCATGTTTCCGTCCTGCAAGAAAATCAAGATCTCGGGAAGTTATTGCTTGTTTGAACAAGTCTTGGCGCCGCAATCGGGGACAGGAAGCCTTTTAAGGCTTTTCGAGTCCCCTTTAGCCTGTATTACTGAACATTCCCGGATGCAGCCGACAACATTTGTTTAATTCCTGGAGTACCTATTGATTGCTAGATTAACAGACGCGTCAGGTGAAAGGAAATTGTGAACAATCGCTTTTGTGTTACCACGGGAATCGAACCCGTGACCTCAATGATGTAACCAAACTGCAGAGGCCAATGCGGGATAGGAGGATACTAGATAATATTACCTCACTATCCCCATAATATCTTGTTTAAGAGGGAACTGATAATCACTGATACTTGTCTGTGTAGCGTCTTTCGTAGCAAAGGCATCTTAGATTATACCTCCTCCCTCATACTCTACAAATATCCTTTAATAAATATAACATTCATATTCAACACAAAACAGATCTGTGGCCTGCAGAAGCATGTATCCTGTAATTAAATTTCCAGACTGTATGTAAACCACCTCGTCTACGAGCTCAGAGTATAATTTCATAATAATCTCAACACGTCAGTACAAAATGATAGTCAGTCAAGCACTAGTCATACTCTAGTATTGGCATATGGCAATTCCTGGATAGTAACATGTGACTCTCATTGGCTGTACTTGCTTAGCTAAATGAATTGTGGGGTTCAGTCCCTGAGCCCATTATGTGCCTCTGTAACCCTTTCCACTACCGCCCACAAGATGGGTATGGGATGCATAATAAATGAACTAAACTAACTAACTGTTCTTTTCTATTCACATTCAGTTGGCCATTTTTAGTAATAGCAAAACATGAACACTATGTTTATACACATGGCGGTTGCTCATTTGACCATGTGTATAACAGTATAAATACTCAATTTTCACATGTAAACAAACAAATTAATCTAAATTTTGACTTATGGAGGTAACCATTGCACACAGGTAACAGATTTGTCTGTAATATTGCTCTAAATGGTAACAACTAGTGCTATAGCAGTTAACTTGCAAACACTATGAATGAGGCAAGACAGCCTTATGACCATACACACACACACACCATCTTCCACCTACGTCAGCAGGTCGGCGTTCAATCCCCGACGGTCCAAGTGGATGGGCACCACTCCTTCCTCCTCCCATCCTATAACAGATAATGCAATGTTTCCCCGTTTGCAACACTACCAAGGGGACTCCAGTACCAGCACGGGGGACCCCCACAAGTCAACAGTGGTCCCCAGAGTGCAGGGGGCAATACAGTGTTGTATCACGTCATCCTTCCACTTTTGTCCTCTCTCACCATGTGCACTCCCTCCAGACGTCAACACGGCCACAACACAGCTCGTGGTAAGACACCAACAACATTGGACTCTCTTGGGGGTACTGGAATCTCAACCAAGTGAAATTAACATACTGTCCCGTTTTCTGTTTTGGGTCCTCTGCTAGGATAGGATAAGGAAACTTTAGTACAACTGTTTCTTGGCGTTGGGAAACCTTAGGAAGACGGGCTGCCGGAACATGGCCAGCAGGCCAGTGATGGAAGTAATAATTACTTAACCAATTATTCCTTAACCTATACCTATAATAGGTTAAGTAATAATTGTAATTGCGAAGCAATAAGATGCTTATCTTAACATACAAAGAAGGTTAGGTAAGGTCGGTGTTTTCTATGAAGCTTTTCAAGGTAAACTAAAATTTCACAATAAATTAGTATGTCACATATGCACTTATTTAATAAGTCAATATTGACTGTAAGAAAGTGCGAGAACGGGTTGGTTTAATCACCTTTGAGGCAAAATCTAGCAGTCGTAACTGGCAGAGAGGAGCACCAAAAGCATAGCCACCAATAAACAGCCTTGCAACTATAAAGTGAAAACTTTTACTTGAAAAGAAAAGCCATCTCACTAGACTCTATAAACAATTGTATGAACCCAGAAATAAATTTACTTTAGTAACAGCTGAAGGAACACAAAATCTAACAAAATAAAGTAAATACATGTAAATAATACCGAGGTATGCTAATATCAACATCTTTTGTAAACATAAATGCAACACAATAAATCCGTCCACCTCTAGTCTCTCAATCTACACAACCAAAATGCATATGAAACCATAAAGAACTTTCAGTTCCCTCGCTCTGTCCTCGATAAATTTATATTAATTAATGTAGCACATGAATAATAATACAAATGTCACAGATCGCTTCGTCTTACTCAGAAATCTCAGTAACTCATCTTAGTAGAGGGGGGGGGGGATGTGGGGATGTCTAGCCAGTTAATCTACCATTTAAATGGATGGCGTTACCATGACGACCATCAGCCACGCTCTCTTGCGGAAATTAAGTCCTTTGGCGCGAAATTCCTGTCATCGTGTCGTTGCTCAGACGTCCTCCTGTGTCTGACATCACCACAATCCTGTGACTTACTCTTCAGTCTGGTTACTTTCCTTGCTTCCTTTACCCGTGTAATAGTAAATAAGCGCTGCAATAATTCTTTGGCTACCTGGTACAGCAACCTGTCCTCTTAAAAATAACGTCGCTTTTAGCCGTTTACCCGTATGGCCGAAAGTGGACGTAATTTGAAAATGAAAAAAAAATGTAAATAAATTTGGGATTTTTTTCAGCAACAGTAAGTTAAGGGTCCTCTGGTAGGTTAGGTGGGCAGGAAATTCTCATAAAGTTTCAAAACGTTATGAAAAACGTTAGTTGAAAGTTTCCTCTCCTAACCTGTCCGCGTAGGCAGGACGACTCAAACAGAAAACGGAACAGTACGTCACTTTTGTGAGTCGATTTCATTTCAAATTACGTCCAAATTTGGCCATAGCGCGCATACCAGCCAAAAGTGACGTTATTTTTAAGAGGAAAGGTTGTGGGTATAGAGGCAACTGCAGGTGTTTTGTGTACGTGTTTGATGCCAGGCTTCCACCGCTGTGTAAATCATGACAACACTTCCCTGCTGGGCTATAGAGCGACGGTCTCGCTTCATGCAGGTTGGCGTTCAATCCCCGACCGTCCATAAGTTGTTGTGCACCATTCCTTCTCCCTCCGTCCCATCCCAAATCCTTATCCTGACCCCTTCCAGGTGCTTTATCCACTGGAGACTTAGCAGCCCTACATAAGCTACCACTCAATCACTAAAGTTTAATGGCACTCTACTCAACTTGCTCCGCACTTCTAACTTCACTAATACCTCACTGGAGAGAGCGCTTAACACCACTTCCTTACACACCTACACGGGCCGGGACTGTCCTCTTGATATTGACTGAGGGGTGACAGGCTTGCAGACGAGAGCAGACAGTCACACCACTGTGCACTGGAGACCTGTGCACTGGCAACCTGTGCACTGGAGACCTGTGCACTGGAGACCTGGGCACTGGAGACCTGGGCACTGGAGACCTGTGCACTGGAGACCTGGGCACTGGAGACCTGTGCACTGGAGACCTGTGCACTGGAGACCTGTGCACTGGAGACCTGTGCACTGGAGACCTGTGCACTGGGGACCTATGCACTTGAGACCTGTGCACTGGAGACCTGTGCACTGGCAACCTGTGCACTGGAGACCTGTGCACTGGCAACCTGTGCACTGGCAACCTGTGCACTGGCAACCTGTGCACTGGAGACCTGTGCACTGGCAACCTGTGCACTGGCAACCTGTGCACTGGCAACCTGTGCACTGGAGACCTGTGCACTGGCAACCTGTGCACTGGAGACCTGTGCACTGGAGACCTGTGCACTGGCAACCTGTGCACTGGCAACCTGTGCACTGGCAACCTGTGCACTGGAGACCTGTGCACTGGCAACCTGTGCACTGGCAACCTGTGCACTGGCAACCTGTGCACTGGAGACCTGTGCACTGGCAACCTGTGCACTGGAGACCTGTGCACTGGCAACCTGTGCACTGGAGACCTGTGCACTGGAGACCTGTGCACTGGCAACCTGTGCACTGGAGACCTGTGCACTGGCAACCTGTGCACTGGCAACCTGTGCACTGGCAACCTGTGCACTGGAGACCTGTGCACTGGCAACCTGTGCACTGGCAACCTGTGCACTGGCAACCTGTGCACTGGCAACCTGTGCACTGGAGACCTGTGCACTGGCAACCTGTGCACTGGCAACCTGTGCACTGGCAACCTGTGCACTGGAGACCTGTGCACTGGCAACCTGTGCACTGGCAACCTGTGCACTGGCAACCTGTGCACTGGAGACCTGGGCACTGGAGACCTGTGCACTGGAGACCTGGGCACTGGAGACCTGTGCACTGGAGACCTGGGCACTGGAGACCTGTGCACTGGAGACCTGTGCACTGGAGACCTGTGCACTGGGGACCTATGCACTTGAGACCTGTGCACTGGAGACCTGTGCACTGGAGACCTGTGCACTGGGGACCTATGCACTTGAGACCTGTGCACTGGAGACCTGGGCACTGGAGACCTGTGCACTGGAGACCTGTGCACTGGAGACCTGTGCACTGGAGACCTGGGCACTGGAGACCTGTGCACTGGAGACCTGTGCACTGGAGACCTGTGCACTGGGGACCTATGCACTTGAGACCTGTGCACTGGAGATCTGGCCACTGGAGACCTGTGCACTCCGAGGACGTAGAACAAGTGGTCCCAGACGACGAAGTGTACCCCTCAAGGGCAGGGAAGGGAATTATCAGGGGAATGCGCCGAGCAATTACGACTATACAGCACTATAAAGGCTGGATAAGGATTGGGATGGGACGTTGGGAAGGAATGGTGCTCAACCACTTGGACGGTCGGGGATTGAAAGCCGACCTGCATGAAGCGAAACCGTCGCTCTACCGTCCAGCTCCAAGTATATACTTGAGTTGTACTTGAATGCAGTAGGCCTTCCTTACTGACATGCTGGCTCTCTTAAAATGCCCTGCTACGGTACAAGGAAAGTTAACTTACCTGCTCAAGGGGGCCTCGTAGCCTGGTGGATAGCGCGCAGGACTCGTAATTCTGTGGCGCGGGTTCGATTCCCGCACGAGGCAGAAACAAATGGGCAAAGTTTCTTTCACCCTTAATGCCCCTGTTACCTAGCAGTAAATAGGTACCTGGGTGTTAGTCAGCTGTCACGGGCTGCTTACTGGGGGTGGAGGCCTGGTCGTGGACCGGGCCGCGGGGACACTAAAAGCCCCGAAATCATCTCAAGATAACCTCCTTGTGCTAGGAGGAGGGCCCAACACTGGTTACTTTCAGTCAGACTTGGTGCACAACCTGTTGTAAGTAAGACCTGTTCTTACTTACCTAAAATCTTACAAATCTTACTAATTGATTTCAGTGATGATTTCAGTGCTGCACAGGCAGGAGGAGCTGCCAATCACCGGGAAGCAGCCATGTCACGTAAATACAGAGATCTTGATCACCACTACAATTTTGTCCCCATTGCCTCAGAGACACTTGGTGCCTGGGGTAAAAGTGCTGCAAGTTATTTGAAGGAGCTGGGGTCCAAGTTAATTGAAACAACTAGAGACCCTAGAGCTGCCAGTTTCCTCTTTCAGCGCCTTAGTGTGGCGATTCAGAGAGGAAATGCTCACTGCATCCATGGTTCCTGCTCGTCATTTGAGGAGCTGGAGGAACTCTACAACTTGTGACAAGTAGTCTTGTACCCTGCATGTAACCAATGTTGTAACCCTTTATGAGTAATGACATTTTAAAATGAAGTGATAGATATATATATATATATATATATATATATATATATATATATATATATATATATATATATATATATATATATATATATATATATATATATATATATATATATAACTGAAAACTCACACCCTAGAAGTGACTCGAACCCATACTCCCAGAAGCAACGCAGCTGGTATGTACAAGACGCCTTAATCCACTTGACCATCACGACCGGACATAATGAGGTGATAGCCGAGGCTATTTGAACCACCCCACCGCCGGCACTCGGATAGTTATCTTGGGCATAGCATTTTACCAAATCACCTCATTCTTAGGGGCACACGTGAGGAACACAAATGCGAACAAGCCAGAATGGTCCCCTGGACAATATGCAACTGAAAACTCACACCCTAGAAGTGACTCGAACCCATACTCCCAGAAGCAACGCAACTGGTATGTACAAGACGCCTTAATCCACTTGACCATCACGACCGGACATAATGAGGTGATAGCCGAGGCTATTTGAACCACCCCACCGCCGGCACTCGGATAGTTATCTTGGGCATAGCATTTTACCAAATCACCTCATTCTTAGGGGCACACGTGAGGAACACAAATGCGAACAAGCCAGAATGGTCCCCTGGACAATATGCAACTGAAAACTCACACCCTAGAAGTGACTCGAACCCATACTCCCAGAAGCAACGCAACTGGTATGTACAAGACGCCATAATCCACTTGACCATCACGACCGGACATAATGAGGTGATAGCCGAGGCTATTTGAACCACCCCACCGCCGGCACTCGGATAGTTATCTTGGGCATAGCATTTTACCAAATCACCTCATTCTTAGGGGCACACGTGAGGAACACAAATGCGAACAAGCCAGAATGGTCCCCTGGACAATAACCCCCTGTGAGTTTTCAGTTGCATATTGTCCAGGGGACCATTCTGGCTTGTTCGCATTTGTGTTCCTCACGTGTGCCCCTAAGAATGAGGTGATTTGGTAAAATGCTATGCCCAAGATAACTATCCGAGTGCCGGCGGTGGGGTGGTTCAAATAGCCTCGGCTATCACCTCATTATGTCCGGTCGTGATGGTCAAGTGGATTAAGGCGTCTTGTACATACCAGTTGCGTTGCTTCTGGGAGTATGGGTTCGAGTCACTTCTAGGGTGTGAGTTTTCAGTTGCATATTGTCCAGGGGACCATTCTGGCTTGTTCGCATTTGTGTTCCTCACGTGTGCCCCTAAGAATGAGGTGATTTGGTAAAATGCTATGCCCAAGATAACTATCCGAGTGCCGGCGGTGGGGTGGTTCAAATAGCCTCGGCTATCACCTCATTATGTCCGGTCGTGATGGTCAAGTGGATTAAGGCGTCTTGTACATACCAGTTGCTTTGCTTCTGGGAGTATGGGTTCGAGTCACTTCTAGGGTGTGAGTTTTCAGTTGCATATTGTCCAGGGGACCATTCTGGCTTTTTCGCATATATATATATATATATATATATATAGTAAGATTAATAATTCTAACACGATTTTTCTCAATCTTTCGTACATTTCTTTTCACTGTTGGAGGTAAATCAAAAATCAATTCTCCAAAATTCATTTTTATTTCTAGTCTGACGCGACACGATCGCGTTTCGTAAAACTTATTACATTTTCAAAGACTTTAGTTTACAAATACACAACTGAATAGAACTTACGCATCTCCGATTTTGTTTTTATATCTACATTTGAGAGAGGTGGATGGGGTGAGGTGGCATTAATAGGGTATTAATTTCATCAACACAAGACAGAACAAGAGGTGGCATTAATAGGGTATTAATTTCATCAACACAAGACAGAACACGAAACAATGGGTATTGAATAGAAGTGATTGTAGAAAACCTATTGGTCCATATTTCTTGATGCTTCTATATTGGAGCGGAGTCTTGAGGTGGGTAGAATATAGTTGTGCATTAATTGGCTGTTGATTGCTGGTGTTGACTTCTTGATGTGTAGTGCCTCGCAAACGTCAAGCCGCCTGCTATCGCTGTATCTATCGATGATTTCTGTGTTGTTTACTAGGATTTCTCTGGCGATGGTTTGGTTGTGGGAAGAGATTATGTTCCTTAATGGAGCCCTGTTGTTTATGCATCGTGGATACCAAGACCAAGAGATGGCTTCCTGAACCATGCAGGAATTAACCTCACTGAGGACCAAGTCACTCTCCTAAATCTGGGCATAAACTGTCATGTTATGTCCAGACCGAGTGAGATGGCCCGGAAAGTAGAGTTGGAAATTCTGTTGGACGACATATTCGACCTCGAGACACAAAAGAAGGTCACTACCAAAGATACCTTACAAGCAGAACTTATTGCAGAAGGAGGAAAGAATCGAGGCAATTACAGAAGCACCATACTGTCCCCCGAGCTCAAAGCGGCAGCTAAAAGCCTTCGTGAGAACAAGGAGATAGTTGTCAGGAGAGGTGACAAGTCGCCAATATATGTCATTCTTAAAAAAGACGAATATCTGGCGAAAATGAACATCATACTCTCTGACCAAACTAAGTTCCAAAGGGTAACGAAGGACACTACAGCCAAATTAAAAGCAAAGGTCAACAAACTGATCGAAACTGTGAACGCCAAAAAATCCGGACTCCACCTGCCAAAGATCATTGGGGAATATAAACCTGGATATGCGTATGGAAATGTCAAGACACACAAGCCTGGAAACCCACTTCGGCCAATCATTAGCCAGATACCCACACCCACGTACAGACTGGCGAAGCGACTCAACGGCCTGCTGACTCCTTATGTTCCTTGCGCCTTCAGCCAGAAGTCTCCAAAGGAATTTGTTGACTTACTGCCGGGCACACGGGCCACAGGGATAAGAGCCTCGTTGGACGTAGAATCGCTGTTTACCAACGTACCTGTGGACGAGACAATCGGGATGATAGCCGACAGAGTGTATCGTGATCCAGCCTGTACTCCTCTTGACATACCAGAAAATATTCTGAGGAAACTACTCCAAGCTTGTACTAAAGAGGCACCCTTCTTGAGCCCGGATGGGCACATGTATAAGCAAGTAGATGGGGTCGCCATGGGTTCTCCCTAGGTGTCCTGTTTGCAAACTTCTACATGGGTACCATCGAGCAAAAAGTCTTAGTCGACATGAACTTGAAACCGGCCATATACTGCAGGTATGTTGACGACATTTTTACACAGGTTCCTGATGTCAGACATCTGCAGGAGCTGAAGGAGGCATTTGAGCAGAGTTCCGTGCTGCGTTTCACTTACGAGATGGAAAAGGATGGGAAGCTGCCCTTTCTAGATGTAACAGTCATGGAAAAGAGCGGAGGTTTCCACACTGCAGTCTACACTAAGGAAACGAACATAGGAATGTGCCTAAATGCCAACAGCGACTGCCCAGACAGGTACAAGAAGAGTGTTGTTAACGCATATGTCGACCGTGCTCTCAGCCACAGCTCAGAATGGAAGCAAGTCGACGAAGAACTCTGTAGGGTAAGGCAGGTCCTAGTCAACAACGGCTTCTCCAATGGTTTCGTCGAAGACATCATAAGAAGGAAAGTGAAACGCCATGCAACCTCTGAAGAGACAACTAACACAACACCTATACCCCCTATTAGACTATTTTACATGAACTTCTTTTCCACAGCTCATAAAACAGAGGAAAGGGTCCTGAAAGATAT